TTTGGTGAGTAGTGGAGCAGGCCCCACTGGACGTATTCGTAAGAAAACAAAAACAAAAAAACGAGAGAGCCACGGGCATCTTCACCCTAACCCATAACTGCCGACATGCGGACCTGAACGCCAATCTTCAGAATATATTGGCGGTCGGCTGGCAGTAGAACATTCAATTTGCGACTTCTGCGAAGCTTCGCGGGGCATGTCGTTATTAGGCGACTACCCCTTCTTGCGAACTGACCCCACTACTGTGTGGGATTTGCAGAAGGCAGCGGGAAGAACATCTCTCATACCCCGCCTTAAACAAAAGTTGGAATGAGCCCTATTTTGTGCCTCGCCATTCGAAACTTTTTGGGGAAGGGCCTGCGCAAATCGAATTTTCAGCAGCCCTTACCCAAAAGAAAAGTTCGGGCCGTGGGCGCGGCCGGTTTGTGAACTTGCGCGGTGAGTTTAACATTTTTGCCGAGTTGGGGGCCCTAAGAAATTAGAAAACCCCTACTTTTTTTTCTTTTTTTTTTTGGACCTAATTTTTCAAGTGCGCTGTGCTTCGGTGCGCTGTGCGGTGCGCGACGCGACGTGCGCAAACCGTGCGCAAACCGGCGCACCGACGTGCGCTGCAACTATGATCTATATATATTAATAGATAGATTAATAGATAGATTAATAGATAGATAGGTAGATATATATATATATATATGAGGGTTCCGTCCCCGCATTCCATCCCCCTTAGCTTTGAAAGTCCGCTGAGCTGGTTCTACGCAGGTGCTTCCCCCTTCGTTCATAGTCTGCAACGACCTGAGGCGCTGTCTTGACCAGCCCCTGATGAGTCGGTGAAACTCCGACGAAACAGTTTGTCACGGCCCCTCGTTTGTTGTCCTCTTCTCCCTCTCTGCCCATGGTTTATCGGGCATTTCTGTTTGACGACATAAATATGTATATCACCGGTGGGTACATTGGCTTTATTGAATCGCACTTGTTAGGCAGCACTTGCTTTTCTTTGTTTTGTCACCTGTTGTTGATTGTGATTTTTTTTTTTTTTTTTGTGAAGTGGATGTTCACCTGTTGGGCGTCTGATGACATTATGGCAAGCTTTGCTGGAATTGCTAACATAACCTTTTCATGGTCTGCAGGTTCAGGGTTTCCCTACTCTTCTCCTCTTCAAGGCTGGAGCGAAAGATGAAGAGCCGGTAAGTTTTGGGCTGGGAAAAGATTTAGAGACCGGGTGTTTTTAACCTTTATTGCATTTGGTGTTTGTTGCCTTCTTGTATATCTAAAAGGTTGTTTAGCCTTTTTGTGTGAAAGTCGATGTCTTGAAGACGCCTGACATCTCCTCTGGCGTGGTTGTATCTGTTTCCTTGGCGTATTTTGTTGATGTCTATGTTCCGTAGATTCCCTTTGAGGGCGACCGGACTGTGAAGGAAATGACCAAGTTCCTGAAGGAGAACTGCGGTATTCCGTTCACTCTTGAGAAGAAGAAGAAGAAGAAGGCCGAAGCCGTTGAAGTTGAGACGGAAGAGGCCAAGGCGGAGGAGAAGGAGCTGGCGAAGGATGCTGCTACAGAGGAGGGCAAGGAAGAAGTCGTTGAGACTGTCAAGAGCTCTGGCAAGGAGGAACTGTGAGAGATTGACTTAGTAGAATGGAGTAGAAGTTTGAG